TTCTCAATTTTTCATCTTTCATAAAACACAAACAGCTTCATTTTTTTTCATTCTCCTTCATTCCTCTCTGTTAAGGTGCGTCTTTTATCTTCTTATTCACTATTTCTCTTCATTTTTCATTTCAATCAATGTGCGTTTTATATTTTGTGATTTTATTTTTTTGTTTCACTTCGTATAATCTCTAGTTACAGTACTTTGTATCATTTGATTCTGTGAATAAGAAAGGGATTTTTTTTTTTGTGTTTCGTTTTGGGTGGTAGTTTTTTGTTTTGTTTTTACGGTTTTTTGTGTCGTAACCGAACCGCCAATGCCGTCTGCGACAACCTCAACGAAGCGGTGTCGTGTGTTGTAACCACATTACTGTGGATAATCCGAAACGTTGAATTCTACATGGTGAAAAATCTTTTAGAAAAAGGTTTTAGTTATTTGATTTTTATTGTTCTTTCTTTGTGATTATTGTTTGATGTTTATTCATGAAGGGATGCATGAACGATAGTTTGTGTTGTTTTTAAGTCTGGTGGTTTGTGTTTCCATTGATTTTTCGCTCGATTGTGTTGTTCCGTTTGGATGTTTGTAAAATTTGTTCAATTGAAGAGTTGGGCAAGAATTTAGTTGTGATGGATAAAGAGAAGCATGTTTTGGTTTGTTTTGTTAATGTTGCCCTAATTTTGAAAGTGATTGAAAATGCTGTTTGATGGTGTATGTTTTGAAATTATGCAATGATTCGTGTTTTGTTTTGCAATTCGATTTGATTGTTCACTAGATTGTGTTGGAAACCTGACTTTATGATATCGATATGTTTGTTTTGCAAATTTGGTACTCAAATATCTGCATTGAATTCGTAGTTACTTGATTATTTAGAATTTTTTTTGGGAATTAATGGATTGAAATAAGCACTTACGTAACTTCATTAGGTGTTATCTTTTAACCATTGTTTCTCTTGTTTTGTCAATTTTGTTGCACGGTTTTAGTTTGTTCTTCATTTCTTTGTTGGTAATGTAGTTTTGTTATCTTGGATTGTTTACAGGGTTTCTTAGGCTTGTGTGATTAAGGGAAGCATCTTTATTGCATACACTGAGTTGCCAGATTCTGGGTGTGAATGGGTGTGAATATTTATTCACTCCTCGTTGATGTTGCTTTGGTGTGATGCTTGGAATCAAAAAGAGTGGTTGATTAGCCGGAGAAACTAACCAGTTAGTAATGGAATGTTCTGAAGATGGTGCCTTAAGGGCTAAAAAGATGGCGGAGAAGAGGTTCTTACAGGATAACTTTGGTGTTGCAAAACTACTTGCAGCAAAGGCTCGGGCCCTGAATCCCAATATTGACGGCATCACTGAACTGCTGGCAACGATTGATGTGTATATAGCTGCTGAAAAAAAAGTTGGTGCAGACGTAAATTGGTACGAGGTCCTTGGTGCACAGCCCTTGGATGATGAGGAAACAATTCGGAAATGTTACAGGCAGAAGGCTCTTACTCTGCATCCGGATAAAAACAAGTCGGTGGGTGCAGACGGTGCATTTAAGCTGGTCTCTCAGGCTTGGACTGTATTATCTGATAAAACTAAGAGAGCCGCCTTTGATCAGAAGTGCCACTTATGGGAGTCCTTCAAAAGAATTAGTGGCAGTATACCTCAGAATAGTTTGTTTGATACTGTTAACCTTGGTGGGAAACCGTCTGAACCTGCTACTCGGGGTGGTTTGTTTAATGCTGCTAACCGGAAGGACAGAGATCTCACGAGGGGAACTCATGCCAATCCTACTCCAAGACCTTCTGTATCTGCTCGTTATAGTAGTTTGTTTAATTCTGCTACCGGGAAGGACATAGATCATACAAGTGCTGCTCACACCAATCCTACTCCAAAAGCCCCCCTTGATGAGCCGACTTCATTTTGGACTGTGTGCAGTTTTTGCAGGACACATTATGAGTACTTCACTGTTTATAAAAACTGCAATATTGTTTGCACCGGCTGCAACAAGCCATTTTTTGCTTCTGAGACACCACCCCCGCCTTTAATTGCAAATGCTTCACCCACTTCAAGAGCTGCTTTGTTGAAGCAGCATAAGTTCAACTCAACCGGATTGGTAAGAAACAACCATGTTTCAAGTAGGACACTGACGTCTTCCGGAACTTCCAGTGGACCGACATCAGTTTCTACCGCTTCTGGAGCTCTTGGTCATTTTAACAGGCCATCTGTGAATTTGAAGAGAAGGCATGAAGATTTGACACCTCTCATGAGTGAGGAGACACATTTAGGGAAAATTCATGTTGAAAGAACCGTTGCAGGTTCAGATTTTCAGCCTTCTTGGAAGAAAAGATGCACAGGTGAACATAAAATTGATAGTGATAGACCAGGCATGGAAACTGAAATGGCATCAAAAAAAGGAATAAGCTCTTCCAATGTGTCTGTGAAGAATAGTTTTGATGCAGGAAAGGTTAGTGCTGCTGGAAATTCCAGACGAAATGGTATTAGGGACATGTCTCAGCAGAATATGAAGAACATCTTGGCAGAAAAGGCCCGGAAGGTGATTTGTAAGAAACTTGATGAGTGGAAGGAGAGTCGTAACAAGCTTGATGAGTGGAAGGCGATTCGTAAAACCCTTGATGAACGGTACCCGTCTTCTACATTAAAGAATACTGGTGCAGAAGTCAACGTGAAGGAGAAAGAAAAGGCTATTAATGGTGTGAAGCCTGGTCCAAAAGAAATTGTTGTTTCTGAGACCAACAACTCTATCTCTGCTGTTTCAGAGGTGCCTCTTTCTGTCACAATGAGTGTTCCAGACCCAGATTTCCATGACTTTGATGGGGACCGAGTTGAGGACACTTTTGGTGAGAACCAAGTGTGGGCTGTATATGATGATGAAGATGGAATGCCACGCTACTATGCCTTTATCCACAGTGTGATCTCAAAGAATCCATTCCAAATGAAGATAACCTGGCTGAGCTCTAAAACCAATGATGAGTTTGCACCTATAAGGTGGGTCGGTTCTGGCTTTCCAAAGACAACCGGAGATCTTCGACTAGGCAAGCGTGTAATCAGCAGCAATCTAAATTCTTTCTCGCACAGGGTTAACTGGACAAAAGGTCCAAAAGGAATTTTTCGTATATATCCAAGGAAAGGGGATGTTTGGGCTCTATATCAAAACTGGTCCCCTGATTGGGATGAACTTACTAAAGATAATGTCATACATCAATACGAAATGGTGGAAGTGCTTGACGACTACAGTGAAGAGCACGGTCTAAATGTTGCTCCACTTTCCAAGGTTGCAGGTTTCAAGACAGTGTTCCGCCAGAATGCTGACCCGAGAAAAATCAGGAACATTCCAAGGGAAGAGATGTTTCGCTTTTCACACCAGGTTCCTTCATACTTGCTTACCGGAGAAGAAGGTGAAAATGCTCCTAAAGGTTTTTTGGAGCTGGATCCTGCTTCTACACCCATGGAACTTCTTCAGCTGATCACTGATCCTCCAAACCAAGAAAAGGAAATGCCAGTTGAAAATTCTTCAAAAGATGACTTGAAGCACAAGGACAATTCTGGCGCGAGAAAGAAGGCGGCTGGAGCACAGGCAGGGAAGGTTTGGCCTGAGAATTTGCTGGTATACAAGCGGAAACGTTTTAAGGTAAAGAAGGATCAGTGAAGTGAAGTGGCTAGTAGTTGTGAATAACAGAATTGAATTGAAGAGATTTTGTTCCATTTTAGCTATAGAGTTAGCCTATTCCATTCAAATACTCTACAAAACCATAGTTTTATAATCACCAATTCAAACTAGATTGCTTTTGATGTTAGTGTTGTATATTGGCTGGCAGTCCTACAATTTTGCTTTTGGTTGTTACATCTGTAGGGTTCTTTGAAATGCCAATGTAAGCCAGTTACTAGCTTCCTTAAGTCAATGAAATTCAGAATAATTTATTCATATCCTTCTATATGCCTGCACTAACTCAACACTGATACTCGGTTATTTTCTTCGTTTTACTATTCAGGATAGGTTTTATAATTTGAGGAAATAACTAAAATACTGTAATCAAGTCAAAGTTTTAGAATGTAGTTTGTGTCAAAACTACTGTTATTTGTAATTTAATCAGACTCACTTTCAGTTTAAATGTGTAATTAGGTAGATTTTTTCTCACAATAAAATTAGAAGCCTTAAAAACCATATAAAAGTGATTCTAGTTTTTCAAAATATATTATTTGATTATCATTATAAAATGATAAATTCAAACCAAAACGTGTAAATCATGAAATTAGTCTTTTGATTCAATCGAACGTTGACATATTTGAAAGTTCTATAGCATCGTAGGTTGAATTGATGGAAAGTGATAGAATAGAGTAGAATTGAAAGGAATAATATTATTGTTCTATTGTTCGGATTGGTAAAATGAAGATGGAATAACGCGGAACATAATGAAATGTATTGTGTATACAATGGAGTGAACTAATTTGTTCCGTTCCATTCTGCCAAACTATTATTGTTCTATTGTTCGGATTGGTAAAATGAGGATGGAATAACGCGGAACATAATGAAATGCATTGTGTATACAATGGAGTGAACTAATTTGTTCCGTTCCATTCCGCCAAACTATAAAAGTACATAATCAAAGTTAAGAATGTGCTGAAATAGGAGTTTCAATGGAGAGCAAGTTATGAATCTTCATCCTTCTAGTTTAGTTATTGGACCTCCCTTGTCCCGCTTGTTGCAATCACCTTGCATCACTGAGAAAGTCAATCCCTTATATCGCCTTACCTCGGTTGGCAACACGTGGCATGGGAAACTCTCCTTAATATACCTTCATGTATTTAGTCCGACTTCTTTTTATTTTTCGATAGCCTTTAACAAACAAAAAATAATAATAAAAAAGGGCGTAAAAAGGGGAAAGAAAAGAAATCCCGTGCCCTAGGCCCTACCTTATCCCATCAAACCAAATTGATTTCCTTCCATTAAATTCCCAATTCCATCAAAATCAAGAGCCACCAATTCTGACTCAAAAACATCATCCATCAATCATGGAGAACAACAACAATCCACAACAAGAAGCCCAATATCCACCTCCGCAACCCCCGGCGGCACCATTCCAACACCTCTTACAGCAACAACAACAACAGCTTCAAATGTTCTGGTCCTACCAAAGACAAGAAATCGAACACGTCAACGACTTCAAAAACCACCAACTTCCCTTAGCACGCATTAAGAAAATCATGAAAGCCGACGAAGACGTCCGCATGATCTCCGCTGAAGCACCCATCCTCTTCGCTAAAGCTTGCGAGCTTTTCATTCTCGAACTCACCATTCGTTCTTGGCTTCATGCTGAAGAGAATAAACGACGAACCTTGCAGAAGAACGATATCGCCGCTGCTATTACCAGGACTGATATTTTTGATTTTTTGGTTGATATTGTTCCCAGAGATGAGATTAAAGATGAGCCTACCATTGTTGGGGCCACTGCTAGTGGTGTTCCTTATTATTATCCTCCTCTCGGCCAACCTGCGGGGATGATGATTGGTCGCCCGGCCGTTGATCCGGCTACGGGGGTTTATGTTCAGCCGCCTTCTCAGGCTTGGCAGTCTGTTTGGCAGACTGCTGCTGATGATGCTTCTTATGCTGCTGCCGGTGCTGCTGCTAGTGCTCACCACAATGTCGATGGCTAGAGGTATCATTTTCTTTTCTTTTTTAGGGGATGCATTTTTCTACTGAGATATAGGCTCTACTAATAGTTTTAGAAAATATAACTGATAATGTGTAATTACAAGTGTCCGTGTTGAGTGCTATCAAAGACTCAGATACACCTTTGATCTGAAGTGTCCGTGCTATATATTTGGATATTTAGGAATGAACAGTTTTACATTGAATATTACATTGTTACTGATACAATAGACATCAGACACAACAATGATTTGAGAAAATGAAATCGATTGAATATTACCATGTGCGTACCATGTTAGTGTTAGACACTAGACACATTTTTTTCGATCTAAAGCCATGGTGCTATATGTGTTTAGGATGTCTCTTTAGTGTTGGTGAGGTTTGGGGAGTCAGGGTTTTACTGGTTGGAATTTGTTTAGATGGTCGTTTTGAGGTAGTGTTACTTGAAATGCGTATTGGTATGAACAATCATTATGCAATTATGAAGGGATATTCTGTTTTTATATCATGATTCATTTGTTGGTTTGAACATAAGCACACTAGATATTGACATATTGTATAAATAAATGTGTAAAGCTTGCTCATAAGATTTGATTACATTGCATGTCATTTCTTGGTTTTTAGTTACATTCATTGCATTCAATTTTTAGTGTATATCTCTGCTATTGACTTTATTTTCCTACTGTTTTTGTCCAATGTGTTTCATTGTTCGACTGTATAATAGACCTTTGATTTTAGATGATGTATTTGCATTATCCATTTCTCTAGGCCAGGTCAGTTGGTTATTCTGTTTTTTTAATTTCAGTTATTATGCTTTCGCCATGAAAGGACTGGGCAGAAGTTACCAACACGGAAAACCTTTTTGCATTGAAAGTATGGTTGACAAGAGCCACATTGTTTTGTTTTTATTATATTTATTAGTAGGTGAGGCTGATTTTGAAATGAAATATTCAAATTCAATGTTCTTGTAATGGGAAAGCTTCTTCAAAGATTTGCAAAATGTAACATCATTTCACATAGATGTCGATATTTTAACTAGTGATTTAGCATCGTAAGATAAGATATATCACATATCATTGATTTATAGCAACAAATTCTGATGGCCTCATATGGTCAAGATTGATTTCATTACTTCCATAAATGTGTTTTAGCCTTGGAAAGCTGTTGGGTTTAGAGCTCCTCCATCCATCAATTAGCTTATTCAAATTCCCTAGGGCTAAATTTAACTTATGGATTTCTTTCCAGATTATAATATCAAACAAATCAATCTACACTTTTTACCTGAAAAATCTGCAAAATCTGGTTTGAATTTATATCAAGTTACATTCCTTTAATAACATTCATCTTATGCAACACTTGCTTTATTTTCTTTGCAAAACTTGAGCCGGTTACTTTAATGTGATATTGGATTACCCATTCGCGCATTAGAAAATTTAAATGCAACTTTTTGAATTATGATTTGTTGCACTGCATTAGAGAAAGAACTTAAGTTATAAGTATGTATAATAATAAGTGGAATAGGCTACTTATGTTATATACCCTTCTGATCTTTTTCTCTTTCATTTGCCTTGTTTTTGTGTTCATACTAATGTCTGGAAATGGTTCCAATGCCGTTGGTGGTTTCCTTTTTGCTCAGCAGCTGATTGACCACACCGCTGATGATGGGTTGTCAAGACGCGCTGGACTTCTGCAATGTTGCTTGGAATTTTTTTATTGCTTGCAATTTAGTAATGGTTTTGTTGACTTAATTTTTATGGGGTGGCATCAAGAACATGTTAACTTGATGATCAACATCACGATTTAACTGTGTATGTACAAAAAGTAAAATGGAACAACGATCCTTCTGTGCAATGTGTGAAACGTGTTAGGTGCAAGTGTGGGTGGTAAAGTTCCACACCGCCTATCAACGCATATAATGTAGGATTTATAAGAGAGGTGAGTTGTATACCTGATTCCGTAAGGTTTTTGGTGGAGACGTAATGTCTCTCTCTTGTGGTCCTTTCACCCTAGCGCACAAGACTCGAACCATTTTAATTTATTTACTACAATGGTCTTGTGATTGAGAAAATAAATTGTGGCAGATTCAAGCTCATAAAATTGTTTCTATTACTGCAACTGATCTTGAAATTCAAGTTATGTTAACAAGTTCTTGAAGCTTTTTTAGGAGATAATTTTGAATTCTAAAGAAAACGTTAATACTAGTTGTGTAGAATTTGGTTTGTCATCAAGTGTTCAAATAGAGTATCAATACCTGAAACTCAACAAATGTTGAACTACAAATGTTGGAACTCAAGAAAATAAGAGGATCACAGGTTGTGTACAGTACTCAGTTTGTATCAAATGATCAACCAACTCACATTATATTAAAATGTTTGGATCCTATTATAGGATGGGGGCTCATATTTGTGGGAGAGATTATTGGGTGCAAGTGTGAGTGATTAATTATCACATTGTCAATGAATGGGTAGAATGTTGGATTTGTAAAAAAGGAGACTCATATACTAAATGTGTTACTGTTTTTAGTGGAGATGAGAAATTTCTCTTGTGGTCGAAGGTTGTTTCTCCCACCTTCTCCGGACTCCCCAACATTTTTACAAAATCTTTAAATTATGTTTGGGAGTTTGGAGGGGAGGAGAGGAGAAGGCTTTTGAAAATGAATTTAAAAAAAAATTGATATTTTTGAAAAAATAATTTTGTATAGAATGATAAAAGAGTGTTTATCATTATTATATTTTTAATTTTGGAATGGGTTAAATAAGTTTTTGGTCCCTCTAAATATTTCAAATTTCGTTTTCAGTTTCTCTAAAATTTTCCTTCAAAGAATGGTTCTCATAAAAAATTAAATTTTAACTTTTGGCCTCTCTTGCAATTTAGCGACGATTTTTACAATTTAGCGATGATTTTAGCGACGTTTTTTATTTAGCAATGGAATTAGAGATCATTTTAAGTACGATTTTGTCAGGAGAGATTAAAAGTTAAAATTTTATTTTTTAGGAGGACTATTCTTTAAATGAAAAATTTAGAGAGATTAAAAACGAAATTTGAGATATTTAGAAGAATCAAAAAACTTATTTAACCCTTTTGAAAATACTATAACAACATAAAACATATTTAGAAAATTTATATAAGTAATCTAAAATTCTATAAAAATCTCTTTCAATACAAATTTTGAATTTCTCTAAATAAAAAGATTTTTGATGTTATGAATAAAAATAAATCCTCTAAAATCCTCCCAACCAAAATACTACAATTCTTTTCATCAAATCCTACTCTTTTTTCAAAGCTTTTCTCTCCCTTCCTTCCAAATTCTCAAACATAATCTTTGACCATTCACTATAATTTTGTTTAGGAGTTTATAGTGAAAAGAAAACTTTGAAAAAAATGAATAAATGAGTGAATGTAATTGGATGGCTCTTTTTTCATAACATAAAATTAGTCAAATTTTAAATAACTAAAATGTTCATATTGAGGAGAAGGATTTTTGAAATCATAAGCATATAAAAATAAATTAACTATAAAGACATATTATTAAAGGAGATAAGTGGTCGAAGGCTTTAATGGATTGATTAAGAGGGACATTTAACTTAGTTTTCTCAAGGTTTAAAGTTGACTCCTCTAATTTAAAGATTTCTCACCTTTAATATTTTGATAATACGTTAATCTTTGGAGATCTCTCATTTGAGAATCTCTAGACTATTAAAGAGGTTCTAAGGAGATTTGAATTAGCATCAATATTTGGAGTTAATTTTCATACGAATAGTTTGATTGAAATTAATGTTGATCCTTCATTCTTAGTCTTAGCATATGATTTTTCCATTTCAAGATTTAGTCTTTTCCTTTTAAGTATATGCTAGTAGGCGTCAACCCTCAGTTGGAGTCTACTTGATAACCTCTAGTTAAGTTGATTTTGAAGAGACTTCACTTTTGGAATCACACGTATATAAGTTTAGGGGGAAGAGTTATACTCTTAAATTTTATTCTCAATATTATTCATGTGTTCTTTCTTTCATTATAAAACATGTCTGTGAAAGTGTGCGAGAAGTTAGTAAGGATTCAACGGATGTGGGGAGGTGTGAAAGGGGATCCCAAGATCTCTTAAGTGAGATGGTCTAACGTGTGTAAGTCTAATAAGAAAGGAGGGCTTAGGTGTTAGATATCTCTAAATTATTAATCTAGTTTTTAGCTAAATGGAGATGGAGACTTATGACAGGTGTTTCTGGTCTTTGGTTTGGTATCCGGTCTGCTAGGTATTGTCACTCCCTAATCACCACTTTGCACGGAGGTCAATCCTCGGGGTCTTGTTTTACCTCTTCTTGGTGGAAAGGAGTGTCCATTCCTGGATTTAAAAAGGATGACCCCCTGATTAGTTTGAGGTAGGGTTTGTAAATAAGGTTGAAACTAGTTTTCATATATCTTTTTAGGAAAACCCTTTGATATGGAGTATACCTCTTAAGACTAGGTTTCAAATATTCTTCATCATCTCCCAATGGCAAGAAGAAGTTATTGGTGAGATTGAGATGTGTAAATAAGGGAGGAATTATTTGAACCTTTGTTGGGGGAGATTGCTTTCGTCCATGAAAAATCTATAGTCTCTGATTTCTTCTTGATCCTACAAGAGTTTCAGTTCAGTGAGGAGAGTGATATGTGAGTTTAGAGACATACTAGAGATGATTTATTCTTTGTGGCATATGTTTATCAAATCTAAGATAGTGTTTGTTCTTCACATGATGCCCTTTTATCTAGGGAGAATTCAACTCTTCCCTTTCTCTAGGATAGTTGGGCTCTATCGGTGGTGGTTCTTAACAGCTTCAGTTGGACAACATAACCTTCCTATTTAAATGGAAGGTGATTGTTTTTTCAAGGGGTATATCTTGTATCTTTTGTAGAGGTTGGCTTGAATCAACCTCTCATTTATTTGTTACTTACACTACAAGAAACCTTATTTAGCCAGGGTTTTTTGCTGGGGGATAAATTCGTCACTGAATTTATTACGTTGTCAGGTGATGAACCCCTCGTAACGCACAAAACAAAAAAAATATTTAATAACACATTGGCGTGGGGACTTCCCTCGCAAATGCATTGGGGGGTGGGGGGTTTCAAAATTCAAAATTATACACTGCGAGGGACTAAGAAAAAGCGCGCCATAATACTTGACAATTTTCCAGGGACTAACCCCCTCGTAAAACTACATGATAATTTGCTAGGGACTTCCCCTAGCTAAAAAGAGAATCTCTTTAATATGTCAGTGCGTGCATTTGTTACTTGACAATTTTTCAGGGACTGACCTCCTCATAAATTGTTAGGGACTAACCCCCTCACAAATTGCCACCATTTATATCCACGACATCTTTCCTCTTCTCACTTTAATTTTTACAACTTCTTTAACTCTTTTTTCTCTCTCTCAACATTTCTCCATTTCATCACTTTTCTCTCTTTATACTTTCATCACTCTAATCTTATCACTTTTCACTCTCAATACTTCCATTTTTTCTCTCTTCTTTTTCTTAACAACAATCAATTAAATCAACTCATTTTCTCAACTCAAACACATTTAATCTCATGTATTTTACTAAATAGTTGATTTATGTATCTATTTTATTTTCTGATTTAATTTATAATCTAAATTTTATTTTTATTTTTATTTTTTAATTTATTTTCTGTTTTATGTTATATATATATATATATATATATATATATATATATATATATATATATATATATATATATATATATATATATATATATATATATATATATATATATATATATATATATATATATATATATATATATATATATATATATATATATATATATATATATATATATATATATATATATATATATATATATATATATATATTGATTGATTTTTGAATTTTTTTTTTAAATTAACAAAACAATTTAATATATATTTAAATATGTTAAAAATAGTATGTTTAGTATTAGAGACTTGTAAAAGTAGTATAGGATTTTTAAAAATAATATCTTTAGGATTTTTATGTTCAATATTTTTAGGATTTTTAAAATATAAATATTAAAAGCAGGTGTAGTATTTTTATATTGATTCTATTAATTATGTTTGAATTTTAATTATATTATAATTATATTTATTCTATTAATTCTATTTTAATTATATTTATTTATTTTATATTAATTATACATTTTGCCAGGAACTTAATCTCAAGCAAATGGAAAACGCATACGTTTTGTCAGGGGCTTAACCCTAAGCAAATGGAAAAGGCATATATTTTGTCACATGCTTATCCCCAAGCAAAATTTCTGACGCACTGAACTGTTAGTTGCACTACTAGCTTGCGCCTACGTCAGTATGTTACAGACTTGAAAATTGTGATTGCGTTTTGCGAGAGGGTTAACCCTTGACAAATAGGCGACGTGGAAAGCTCCTCATAAAATAATTTGCGACCCCCTGTTTTCCTAGGGGAGCAGTTCCCTCGCAAATTTTGCATTTGTGTGGGGTTTTTGCCACATGTGAGGGGTTTATCCCCTGAAAAATTGCGTTTTTTTTTGTAGTGTTGTAACCTAGCTTCTAGTGTTTGGTATAAGATTTTTAGGTGGTTATGGATCTTAAGCTGAGGTTTTTTAAAAGTTTTTTTTTCTTTTTTAGGCGGTAGGGCTAAGTATATGGAATGTTTTGTTATGATTTAGAATGTAGTGGTGTGGACTACTCTCTCCGTCTCAAAATAATTTTTTTTAAGGTTGTGACACACAGATTAAGAAAAATGATGAGTGGAGGAATAAATATAACGTATTTATAAAATTGTCCTTAATGATTATTGGTTA